GACTACGAATCAGGAGATTCCAGGTTTGACTCCTGCCTAGCTCGGAACCTTCCTTCAACTTCTTTGGAGTGCTCAGGAAATTTCTACTTGCAAATCGTTTTTCTTTGAAAAAACAGATTGTGGGAAGAACGGAATCGCAGTAGTGGAAAACTACTCGTTACTCACCTCATTTATTTACAAAAGAGGTAATCTTGACGTTCAGATCTACCCATGTGGTATAGGTAAAAAACTTACACTAAGATCATCAAGCAGCCGTGATCGTATAGTGGTCAGTACTCTGCGTTGTGGTCGCAGCAACCCCGGTTCGAATCCGGGTCACGGCAGCATCTGCGAGTTGCCAGTCCCTTCAGCTGGACTTTTAACAGTTGGTAACAACGCCCTCTCGTATGAAATGCAGTTACTCTTGGATTCTGCCAAGTTGTCATACAGGGCTAGTGGCGCAATGGATAACGCGTCTGACTACGAATCAGGAGATTCCAGGTTTGACTCCTGGCTAGCTCGGAACCTTCCTTCAACTTCTTTGGAGTGCTCAGGAAATTTCTACTTGCAAATCGTTTTTCTTTGAAAAAACAGATTGTGAGAAGAATGCAATCGCAGTAGTGAAAACTACTCGTTACTCACCTCATTTATTTACAAAAGAGGTAATCTTGACGTTCAGATCTACCCATGTGGTATAGGTAAAAAATGTACACTAAGATCATCAAGCAGCGGTGATCGTATAGTGGTCAGTACTCTGCGTTGTGGTCGCAGCAACCCCGGTTCGAATCCGGGTCACGGCAGCATCTGCGAGTTGCCAGTCCCTTCAGCTGGACTTTTAACAGTTGGTAACAACGCCCTCTCGTATGAAATGCAGTTACTCTTGGATTCTGCCAAGTTGTCATACAGGGCTAGTGGCGCAATGGATAACGCGTCTGACTACGAATCAGGAGATTCCAGGTTCGACTCAAGCACTCATCAAGCAGCCGTGATCGTATAGTGGTTAGGACTCTGCGTTGTGGTCGCAGCAACCCCGGTTCGAATCCGGGTCACGGCAGCATCTGCGAGTTGCCAGTCCCTTCAGCTGGACTTTTAACAGTTGGTAACAACGCCCTCTCGTATGAAATGCAGTTACTCTTGGATTCTGCCAAGTTGTCATACAGGGCTAGTGGCGCAATGGATAACGCGTCTGACTACGAATCAGGAGATTCCAGGTTCGACTCCTGGCTAGCTCGGAGCTTCCTTCAACTTCTCGAAAAATTGTTTTCTTTGAAAAAACAGATTGTGGGAAGAACGGAATCGCAGTAGTGGAAAACTACTCGTTACTCACCTCATTTATTTACAAAAGAGGTAATCTTGACGTTCAGATCTACCCATGTGGTATAGGTAAAAAATTGACACTAAACTCATCAAGCAGCCGTGATCGTATAGTGGTCAGTACTCTGCGTTGTGGTCGCAGCAACCCCGGTTCGAATCCGGGTCACGGCAGCATCTGCGAGTTGCCAGTCCCTTCAGCTGGACTTTTAACAGTTGGTAACAACGCCCTCTCGTATGAAATGCAGTTACTCTTGGATTCTGCCAAGTTGTCATACAGGGCTAGTGGCGCAATGGATAACGCGTCTGACTACGAATCAGGAGATTCCAGGTTCGACTCCTGGCTAGCTCGGAGCTTCCTTCAACTTCTCGAAAAATTGTTTTCTTTGAAAAAACAGATTGTGGGAAGAACGGAATCGCAGTAGTGGAAAACTACTCGTTACTCACCTCATTTATTTACAAAAGAGGTAATCTTGACGTTCAGATCTACCCATGTGGTATAGGTAAAAAATTTACACTAAGATCATCAAGCAGCGGTGATCGTATAGTGGTCAGTACTCTGCGTTGTGGTCGCAGCAACCCCGGTTCGAATCCGGGTCACGGCAGCATCTGTGAGTTGCCAGTCCCTTCAGCTGGACTTTTAACAGTTGGTAACAACGCCCTCTCGTATGAAATGCAGTTACTCTTGGATTCTGCCAAGTTGTCATACAGGGCTAGTGGCGCAATGGATAACGCGTCTGACTACGAATCAGGAGATTCCAGGTTCGACTCCTGGCTAGCTCGGAACCTTCCTTCAACTTCTTTGGAGTGCTCAGGAAATTTCTACTTGCAAATCGTTTTTCTTTGAAAAAACAGATTGTGAGAAGAATGCAATCGCAGTAGTGAAAACTACTCGTTACTCACCTCATTTATTTACAAAAGAGGTAATCTTGACGTTCAGATCTACCCATGTGGTATAGGTAAAAAACTTACACTAAGATCATCAAGCAGCCGTGATCGTATAGTGGTCAGTACTCTGCGTTGTGGTCGCAGCAACCCCGGTTCGAATCCGGGTCACGGCAGCATCTGCGAGTTGCCAGTCCCTTCAGCTGGACTTTTAACAGTTGGTAACAACGCCCTCTCGTATGAAATGCAGTTGCTCTTGGATTCTGCCAAGTTGTCATAAAGGGCTAGTGGCGCAATGGATAACGCGTCTGACTACGAATCAGGAGATTCCAGGTTCGACTCCTGGCTAGCTCGGAACCTTCCTTCAACTTCTTTGGAGTGCTCTTGAAATTTCTACTTGCAAATCGTATTTCTTTGAAAAAACAGATTGTGGGATGAACGGAATCGCACTAGTGGAAAACTACTCGTTACTCACCTCATTTATTTACAAGAGAGGTAATCTTGACGTTCAGATCTACCCATGTGGTATATGTAAAAAACTTACACTAAGCTCATCAAGCAGCTGTGATCGTATAGTGGTCAGTACTCTGCGTTGTGGTCGCAGCAACCCCGGTTCGAATCCGGGTCACGGCAGCATCTGCGAGTTGCCAGTCCCTTCAGCTGTACTTTTAACAGTGGGTAACAACGCCCTCTCGTATGAAATGCAGTTACTCTTGGATTCTGCCAAGTTGTCATACAGGGCTAGTGGCGCAATGGATAACGCGTCTGACTACGAATCAGGAGATTCCAGGTTCGACTCCTGGCTAGCTCGGAACCTTCCTTCAACTTCTTGGGAGTGCTCAGGAATTTTCATCTTGCAAATCGTTTTTCTTTGAAAAAACAGATTGTGGGAAGAACGGAATCGCAGTAGTGGAAAACTACTCGTTACTCACCTCATTTATTTACAAAAGAGGTAATCTTGACGTTCAGATCTACCCATGTGGTATAGGTAAAAAATGTACACTAAGATCATCAAGCAGCCGTGATCGTATAGTGGTCAGTACTCTGCGTTGTGGTCGCAGCAACCCCGGTTCGAATCCGGGTCACGGCAGCATCTGCGAGGTGCCAGTCCCTTCAGCTGGACTTTTAACAGTTGGTAACAACGCCCTCTCGTATGAAATGCAGTTACTCTTGGATTCTGCCAAGTTGTCATACAGGGCTAGTGGCGCAATGGATAACGCGTCTGACTACGAATCAGGAGATTCCAGGTTCGACTCCTGGCTAGCTCGGAACCTTCCTTCAACTTCTTTGGAGTGCTCAGGAAATTTCTACTCGCAAATCGTTTTTCTTTGAAAAAACAGATTGTGGGAAGA